TCCTAATAAGGTGGTTAGTTTCCATAGTAGAACGACCCAACATGAACCCGAACTGGTTATCTGATACAGACACCGTCCTCCTCACCTTCGCTTTTACTACTCTCTCCCAAAATTTCATGGTATGACTCAATAATTTGATACCCTTATAGTTTTTGCTACTCTGGATGTAACCTTTGTTCTTGTACAACAAAACCATCGTACTCCACCTCCACTAGTCCAATATATTCTTCGTCCTAAAAATAAATTAAACAACCTAGTCAACCACTCCAAGCCTGCTCTACCCACACACTTCCAAAATTCAACCGGAATCTCATCAGGCCCGGTTGCTCTGCCCCTGCTCATCTTACGCATAACCCCCATGACCTCCCCAACCTTGAAGTGCCTACAGTATCCAAAATTGCGGAGGCTCTCGGAATGCCCCAACTCGCCTAGCACAATATCCTAATCCCTAACTTCATTTAGAAGTTTATGAAAGTAAGTCTGCCGTCTCCGATTAACCTGGGCCTCTCCCATAAATACTCTACCATCATTTTCTTTGATGCACCTCACTTGGTCCAAATCCCGGGACTTCCTCTCTCTCTCCTTGGCCAGCCTGAATAATCTTTTCTTCTCGCCTTTGGTCCCTAGTTCCTCATACGGACAACTAAAATCCGCAGTCTTAGCCTCCGTGACCGCTAGTTTCCCCTCCTTCCTAGCTACCTTATACCTCTCCCTGTTCGCAATCCTCTCTACCTCGCATGTACTCCCAACTAGCTTCAGGTACACTGCCTTCTTCATTTCCACTATACCTTGAACCACTTCATTCCACCATCAGTTGCCTTTGTGCCTGCCAGTGTAACCCTTTGAGACTCCCAAGACCTCTCTCACTGCCTTTCATATGTAATATGCCATCATCGACCACATAACGCTCCTGTCCCCATTACTCCTCCAAGCTCCCAGAATCGATAACCTCCCTTTCAACTCCTGATCTTTATCCTTAGTCAAGGCTCCCCACCTGATCCTCGGTCGACCTCGTGCAATCCTCTTCTTCCTTTTCATTATAATACTGACGTCCTTCCCTAAGAGCCTATGTTGCATCGTGAGGTCTCACCCGGGATAACCTTGCAATCCTTACACAACCCTATGTCGCACCTCCTAAGGAGAAGATAGTCAATTTGAGTCTTCACCACCATACTCTGAAAAGTAAACAAATGCTCCTCCCTCTTTGGAAAACTAAAGTTAGCAATCACTAGCTCAAATGCCTTTGCGAAATCTAGCAACAAAGTACCTCCTTCATTCTTATCCCAAAACCGAAGCCATTAGGCACCTCACCATAGCCGCATGTAGTCGACCCAATATGACCATTGAAATCCCCTCATATAAATAACCTCTCAACAAGCGGAATACTACGCCCAATCTCATCCAACCTCTCCCAGAAGCGCCTCTTGACCTCCTCATCCAATCCCGCTTGCGGTGCATACACACTCACGACATTTAGGGTGCACTCTCCAACCACCAACTTAATAGACATTATCCTATCATTCACTCGCCTAACCTCTACCACAGACTCTCTAAGTTCCCCATCCACCAGAATGCCTACACCATTCTTACCTTTATGGACTCCAGAGTACCACAACTTGTAATCGTCTGTATTCCTCGCCCTCGATCCTACCCATTGAGTCTCTTGGACATACTTTATATTGACCTTCCTCTTCTGTAGGATCTTCGCTAGCTCTATAGGCTTACCCGTCAATGTACCTATGTTCCATGACCCAATTCTCAACCTATAGGCACCCTTGTGCCCATTACCTCCCATCACACCCCCTGACCCCT